TGTGCAATACTTTAGTGAAGAATTTCAAGGAAATATTTTTTTTACTGTTGTGGTTTTCTTTATTTCAAGATCAAATACGACTTGAGTCTAATACTTGGTAAAGATTTTTCTGGAGCGGGAAATTCATTGAAAGTTCTCAAGGTAATAAGAAAGTTAGAAATACTTTACTGAATTACGCAGTCGTCTCATTGCTCATTTTACGGGTGTGTTATATCATTCAATCTGTTTTTGGTCGGACAACCGTCCGCCATCTTGGATTTGCTTTCTTCCTTTCGTTACCTTTTTCAACTTAAGCTTCGCTTAATCCTTTGCGCGTGTTAGAAAGAGAGAGAGAGAGAGGAAAAAAATAATGGTAACAATTGAATACGAGTCTTAACCAAAAAGTTGTGATTGTGATTAAAAGTTTAGTTTTGATGGCAGTAAAGGGCACAATATTGATGATATATCATGTGTTACGTTGCAGTGTATGGTGGRAWATCGTCGGGACAGATGTTTAACACATCCATTGTGCTTTATTGTCCTGAGCACGAAATGGTAAAAAGCTTGGCTGAGATCATATAATGTTGTGTCACTTACGTAWACGGGCGCCATATTGAATCATGGATTTACAAGAAAGAACAAAAKAACAAMACCAGAAYCTGAGGCATATTACGCTAATAAGCAAACAAATCAATCATGATCACTATTTCCCATGYAAACGCCACCAGGAATGCCTTATATCCCATAATTGCTTKCTGTTTCTCTTTTTTCAGGAAAAGGTTTGGCTGCCCTATATTTCTTATAAATCTTCTGTTGTTTCTATTACTCCTTGTACCGCTGACCTATTTGCACGTACTGCTTGAAGACACAGATGATATATACTGCAGCCAAAGGCTAAACTATACAAAGGACGGGGAAGTTGTTTTTGACTTGGTATGCCTCGATAATCAACAATAAAAWTTATTTTAGAAGAAACGTCATGAATCCCAAATATTGAAAGGGGATAGTATGCGGTTTAAAAACGGTTGTTTTGCTTTCAAAGGGAGTTTTTTTTTTGGTAGTTTTAGAGTGACTATACCAGYTCCGTATAGTTAAGAACTTCAATTAAAATTAACTCAGATTAGAATTGTCATCTTTTAACGAAGCTGACATGCATAATATTGTTTTCATTTGCAGAATGACACCACGTGTTTCATTAAATATCCAGTAAGTATCACAGTATTGTGCTCTACA